GACTAATTTAAAAACTTAAAAAAAATTAAATATGAATTAAAAAAATTAATCGCGATTAATCGCCTGTTAAACAATAGAATACCAATTGAAATTTATTAAATATTTTTGGATTTTTTCTATATTTTCAAATATATTGATTTTTATTACAACACAGAAAATACGAAGTGTACAGTGCTCACTTTATATTATTATATTTTATTACAAATATTTGCACAGTAAAAATGATAAAAGAAATAGTATTTTTCAATTCACCTCATACAAGTACTGTAGTGCAATCTCTTTATCGTGAAAGTGTAATTTATAAATGAGGAGGGTTTTTTTCTACATAATTGCACTCAAAAACAAAACAATGTAAAACTTTAGAGCCTACAAGTCCATTCAGTCCTACTTCTTGTTCAGCCAATTGCTAAGACAAACAAGTTTGTTTACATTTACAGGAGATACTGCTGACTGCTTCTTATTTACAATGTCACCTGAAAGCGAGAACAGCCGTTTGCATGGCACTTCTGTAGTTGGTGTTGCAAGGTATTTACGTGCCAGATATGCTAAACATTCATATGCCCCTTCTTGCTTCGGCCACCATTCCAGAGGACAGGCTTCCATGCTGATAATGCTCGTTAAAAAAATAACGCATTAATTAAATTTGTGACTGAACTCCTTGGGGGAGAACTGTATGTCTCCTGTTCTGTTTTACCCACATTATGCCATATATTTCACGTTATAGCAGTCTCGGATGATGACCCAGCACAGGTTCGTTTTAAGAACACTTTTGCAGCAGATTTGACAAAACACAAAGAAGGTACCAATGTGAGATTTCTAAGGATCGATACGGCACTTGACCCAAGGTTAAAGAATCTGAAGTGACTTCCAAAATCTGAGAGGGATAAGGTGTGGAGCATGCTTTCAGATGTCTTAAAAGAGCAACACTCCAATGCGGAAACTACAGAAACCAAACCACCAAAAAAGGAAATCAACCTTCTGCTGGTGGCATCTGACTCAGATGATAAAAAATGAACATGCGTCAGTCCGCTCGGCTTTGGATTGTGGTTGAAGCATGAAGGGGCATATGAATTTTTAGCATATCTGGCATGTAAATACCTTGCAACGCCGGCTACAACAGTACCATACGAATGCCTGTTCTCACTTTCAGGTGACGTTGTAAACAAGACGTGGGCAGCATTATCCCCAAATTGTAACCAAACTTGTTTGTCTGAGCGACTGGCTGAAGTAGGACTGAGTGGACTTGTAGGTTCTAAAGTTTTACATTGTTTTATTTTTGAATGCAGTTATTTTTTGTACATAATTCTACATTTGTATGTTCAACTTTCATGATAAAGAGATTGCACTACAGTACTTGTATTAGGTGAATTGAAATATACTATTTCTTTTGTTTTTTACAGTGCAAATATTTGTAATCAAAAATAATATAAAGTGAGCACTGTACACTTTGTATTCTGTGTTATAATTGAAATCAATGTATTTGAAAATGAAGAAAACATCCACAAATATTTAAATAAATGGTATTCTATTATTGTTTAAAAGTGCGATTAATCACGATTAAATTTTTTTAATTGCTTGACAGCCCTAGAAAAAACAAATGTCAAACTATGTCCCATCATTTCATAATATTACCTGACTTAGTGAAGATACTTCTGCATTCTATACATTCCCAGTTTTCCTCCCATGGCTGTATTGGGGAACAGGCCAAATGCGTTCCACGGGAACCACAACACTGACAGCACTTGATTTCCCATTTACTAAAAGAAAAAACACACTATACTTAGAATTAACAGAGGAACAACAGAAGAAAAAAAAACAAAGGCTGTTAAGCAGTAAATCCAATCCACCTACCTAGCCACAAATCCCTCATTATTTACCAAACTCTAGTTAAATGATATATAGTTAGTCCCTTGGGATGTACAGTATCCTCTTTCAAAGAGAGGGCACTCCCAATTCACACTAAAAATTCAAGTTAACCTATATTAGGTCGTCTTACAGCCATCACAGGAGCACTTCCACTGACCTAAGAGGGGCAGTGTGGGGAACTGTGAGCCAAGTCTCTCAGCTCCGCTGGCAGCTCGCTCCCTGCCAGGAGCCCAGCTGCCCCACAGAATCCCGGTGGGCTGCGCTCCCCCTCCGACTCCTCGTTAGCTGCTGGGAACAGGGGAAGCCGCGCAGGGCTTCTTGTCTCCGGGAAGCGAGGTCCAGCTGCCCGGTTTCTTGGCCCCCACCCCACGCCAGGAAGCCTTGTAAATTGACAAGACAGCCAACATTCCCAGGTGGAGAGTTGGGAGGGAGCCTCCCAGGGCTTATCGCTTCCCAATTCCCTGCCAGGAGCGGGGTCCAGCTGCCCAGGCTTCTTACTCCGGCTCCCAACCGGGGGGGTGGGATCCAGTTGTCCGCAGCTCTCCAGAAGTGGGGGGCACTTGGGCTCTAGCTGCCTGGCTTTCTTGTCAATTTCACAGCTAACATAAGCAACACAGCCGATGTAAGTAACACAATATCTATACAGATGTGTCGCCCTAACTACACCGTCATAAGCCCTATTTCACTCGTGGAGGTGGAGTTATTGTATCAGAGTAGTAGGGCACTTACATTGGCGGGACAAGGCTCTAGTGTAGACACTGACATAATTAGGCCGATGTAAGGCAGACCTAGCTTACGTCGACCTAACTGGGTAGCATAGCCAGACCTACATCGGGATGCAGTGATTAGAATCCTAGTCAGCTTTGCAGAATATCCAGTTTCAAAGAGGCTATGGAGCAGTTAGTGTATCCTTTTTTAAGCCAACCAATTTGCACAGCCAGTTACTTTCCCCTTCACTACTTTGTGGGATCCACAGCCCAGCTTTTTCAAAGTCCCCTGGCTGTTTTTTCCAAATTGTATTTTGTCTGATACAGTATCTGATTACCTCACCACTTTCCAAAAGCTGGGACTGTTCTGTAAGAGACATTTAAACATTTTTTTAAAGTATTTGCCTAGATCTTTATATTATGTATGTGTTTGCAGTAGTGCCAACAATGTGCTAGATGCTTTCCAGACAAAAAGCAAAAAGGCATGATCCCTGCTCAATGGAGCTCACCAACTAAGACAATTATGAGGCAGAGTACACATAATTAGAATGGGCCATCATGGTGTTTGGCCACAACTTTATAATCTTGTCAATTTAAGCCAGCTAGATTTCTGATAGGCAGTACAACAGAAATGGCTTTCAAGAGGGACTTAAATGTGGGGAGGATAGGGGCCTTGTTGATGAGCTCAGACAGTTCCATACTGATGGGAACTGTGAAAGAGAACACGGAGACGTTTATGAAAAAAGCCAGCAAGGAGACAAAATAAGGCAAAGCAGAAGGGATGCGGTTGGTGATGAAAACCAGTGCAGGAATTTGAAGGTGATGACAAGAAGCTTGGATATTGTTGACAATGACGGAGACAAGGTGAATTGGAGAGGACTTGGGAGGGAAGATATGGAGTTCAATTTTAGGGATGTTAAGTTAGAACTGAAGATGAGACATCAAAGAGAAGATAAAAGTGTAAAGAAAAAGTGTAAAGCAAAGAGAAGAAAGAAGAGGAAGGATTCCTGGGGATATCCAGGGGGAAAGAAGAAGGAAAACCTATGGAAATAGATATTGAAAAAATGGTCCGGGGTAGAAAGAGAACTAGGAGAGGAGAGTATTTTGCAAATCCAGTGGAGGAAAAGATGTCAAGAAGGAAGATGATCAACAGTTCTGAAAACAGCAGGCAGGTCAAGAAGGATGGACAAAATGAAGGGCCTGAGATCTGAGCTGGAAGAGGTCATTAGAGATCTTATTGTCATTGGTTTCAGTAGACTGGAGAGGATTGAAGCTTGTTTAGAAATTGGAGGAGGATTCATAACAGCCATTGTAAATGGCTATTCAATGAGTTTAGAGGTGCAGGGAAGGAAAGAAATGAGATCAAAGTAAGGTTTTGGGAAAGTTCAGAGCATACTTGTAAAGTGAGAGGAAGGAGTCAAAGGACAGTAAGAAGCATAGGTTCCCCCTATTTAATAAAAATCCCAACAGCTGGTTGTTTCTCAAACTTTCTAATCAGGCAGATGGATCAACTGGAACTGGTCAATTCTGAGACATGTCCAATACTTTAGCCAGGTACTTTCAAAAATACCTATGTTAGATATGCTAATACACTTGATATTTTAGCAGCTAAGCATTAATATAAAATAATTTGTCTTAATAGTTTGCTACGTTTCTTTGATTTTTAAAGGATGCTGATGATGGTATTACCTCTTTTGCTGCTTTATTTGTGTTGGAGAAGGGGTACAATATGGAAGATAAATCCTGTTGTCTAACTCTCTTGGCTTTTATATTCTGGGTACATTAAGTCTTCCTGGTCAATCACTTTTTAAAATAAGATGCATGTTGTAAAGTATTGATAAGATAAATATGTCCAGCTTGCAATGTTATTTGAAAATGTCTTAGCTTTCATTATTTACTTTTTAAAAGACTCTTCAACATTCTACCTGTGACAGATTCCTATAACATACCATACCCATCACATTATGTTCAACATATCGGTCTTCAAAATCTGTGTGTGTATATTAATACCTATCAGGTTTATTATAGTCTCTCCCATTCCTGCACAGACATCTTCTAGCGTCACAGTGTTGGTAACGCTGCAAAAGATCTTGATATGCATTCTCCTCAAGTTCCCAGGATGCATCTCTGTAAATATTGCAAACATGGATTAAAAAACATTTTATAGTGCTATAATTTTAGCTTTATGTACTGAAATAACCTTATTTTCCTTTGCCACACATTAAAATTGGAGCTCCCAAAGCATGTAAATATGATTGATAGTAATGGCATAATTTGAGATAATGCAACCATTTAGCAGTGTAATAACAATAAGATGACAGGAGAGAAAGGACCTATGGATAAACAGTCCATCTTTATTCAAGATTGTCCTCTGAACCAAATCCATAAGTGTTTTATATAGTTTGACAACTCTAGAGAAAATATCTGGGAATGTTTTCTTGACAGATTATTCCAACATCTTATCAACCTTAAAGTTAGAACCTTTTGTTCCCAATGTCTATATTTTCCTTTCTGGGTTTATGTGGAAGGAATTTAGATATTACAGCAATGAGCAGCAGTACAAAATCATAAAATAGATTAATCCATATACCCAAGGAAATCATCCTTAAGCATTACAAATACTTTTTCTCAATTCTGGGAGTAGAACTGACAATGTTTGTAGTAGTACTCTTAAGGGTTGAATTAAGGGAGGAAGGGAGAAAAAAAAAAAAGGATGAAGAAGAGAGAAGTCCTCAGCAGGTACTAGAGAGAGAAATGAAGACAGTTAGGCCTTGACTATAGTAGAAGCTCAGAGTTATGAGCAATTCATGAATGGAGGTTGTTCATAACTCTGAACAAAACGCTATAGTTGTTCTTTCAAAAGTTTACAACTGAATATTGACTTAAAACAGCTTTGAAACTTTACTATGCAGAAGAAAATGCTGATTTTAACCATCTTAATTTAAAAGAAACAAGCACAGAAATGGTTTCCTTACCTAGTCAAATCATTTTTTAAACCCCCTCCCCTTTTTTTTTAGTAGTTCATGTTTAACACAGTACTGTACTGTATTTGGTTTGTTTGGGTTTTTTTTTTTAAATCTCGGCTGCTGCCTGGTTGTGTACTTCCAGTTACAAATGTGGTGTATGGTTGACTGGTCAGTTCGTAACTCTGGTGTTCAGACCTCTGAGGTTCTACTGTACAAAGGGAGTGATAGCACAGGTTGGCCGGACCAAGAAAGTGAAGAAAATACAGTGTGGAGAGGATGAGAGAGCAGTCACTGGGAAATGCACCTGCTTTCCCATATTAAGTTGAACTGCCCATATTTTAAAAAATATTCTGGCCATATTTAAAAATGAACTGCCCATATTTAAAAATACTAGAATTTTTAAAAATTCTAACAACACCTTGCATTTATCTATATTGAATATTACACCTCTACCTCGATATAATGCTGTCCTCGGGAGCCAAAAAATCTTACCGTTATAGGTGAAACCGCGTTATATCGAACTTGCTTTGATCCACCGGAGTGCGCAGCCCTGCACCCCCAGAGCGCTGCTTTACTGCGTTATATCCGAATTCGTGTTTTATCGGGTCGCATTATATCGGGGTAGAGGTGTATCTCTAAAATTTAGATTAGTAGTAATATATCTCTATCCTACACTACATTTGCAGCCTCTCTTAATTTAGTACTCTGCAAATCTAAGGAGTGATCTGAAAAGAAGCAAATTGCACCTAAGACAAAAATAAACTGCTCTCATTGCCAGTAGAAACCCAGGAAATCCCAATGATAATTCAAATTTTAATTATACTGCATAAATAAGTACATGGTTTTGGCTTTGTTATCCTACTTAGTTAGAGTTGTATATACAATATGGATTATTTGTGAAATTATTGTTAGTTACTTACTTTTCTGGAATGTGTATTCCCATTCTCAACATTTCATTCTGAAATTTGTCTTTATTATTGCACACTGTGCACCTAAAGAAAAATACCCCAGCACTCAGAGCTTGATACTGCATCAGAAAACAGAAAAGAAAATTAATTGAGCTGTTCACATTTACTCTGTTTCCATCCTTTTGTACTCAATAAGGTCATGGTACCCTGAAGATTGGGCATTACATTTATGGATTCTGTTCTGGCACTGACTTCTTCAGTGCAAGGATCATCTTAAATTTATCCCACTTTGAAGCTAAAGGTGCCTTTCTATCTTTTCACAAGGGAAATGTCTGATCCAGGGGCTGGGCTTGTAAGATCATCTCCAGGAGGAGAGCATGAGCTTTCCTTTCAATGACCTCTCCTCTCCCTTCCCCCACCACCATTCACTCTGCATCTGAAGAGGTTCCTACACCCATGTCTAGCCATGAAAATGAAGGAACAGAAGTAACTAAGGCCACATCATCTTTTTACGATATGGGCTATAAATAGAAGCTTCCTGAAGACAAGCTGAAGTGTGATGATCTCAAAGAACATCTTTAAAAAGGAATCTTCCCAATCTTGCAGTCCCTAAGAATGTATTTTAAAGTTGCTGTTCTATTTTAGTAGTCTGATAACATGGACAAACTAGTTAGTTTTTCCCAGGCCTGTAATCAACAGACTCCCTGGATGAAGTTAGTTATAGTCTTATATTTTTGATGTTGCTTTATTACATTTATTGAATATTAAAATAAGAATGTAAACATTAATTTGTTCTATTATTCTAAGTAGAAAACAAAATGTTGTGAGCATCACAGAATAAAAGGTTGTCTTACCTGCAAGCAGTCTCTATGAAACCAAGCATTTTTACAGCAAGGACTTTTCAGTATATTGTACATTGGAAAGTGCTCAACAAATTCCAAGCATATTGTACACTGTGAAGAGCCTCTAGATTCATCAGATGGAAGTTTCTGAACCGGCCGGTGCTCCCAACAATATGACCTTAAATATAAAATTAAAGCTCTGCTTAATGACACTAAACTTCAAAAACAATCAAGCTATTGTTATTAATACTAAAGAGAGTAACATTATATCCTGTATCATAACTGCAGACTTCAATAATTTTAATTTTTCATACATGTAGTTTAGAACTAAATCATTTTTAGAACAGGTTAAAAAAGCATATATTCAATATGCAAAAAGATTCACAAACAAATTAATATAAAATAGCAAGAAAATGGATTCTCTGATTCCCGATCAGTTGTTCAAAAAGATTACTAAAAACGCCAAAGGTTTTGTATTGGTCCAGCGAAGCATTTCTGGTCCTTAAAAAAAAAAAAGTGTCACCTAATTAAAATAACAATACATTACTTTGTTATCAGATTTTAATTTTTAAAATCTCTCAATAATTCCACAAAGCCCACACAACAGACAAAGAAACTAAGATTTAATTGAGAGTTTGAAAAAGCATGTGTTAGATTGAGAAAATATAAGTAATTTAAAGTGTGGTTCTACTCTAAAAATAATCTTTGGATTTATATTTATTATAGCTCATTGGTTCCATATAAAATGTATTCAGTTTACAAGTTAAATTATTCTTCATCCCCCAGTTGCCAGCGCTGCAAACTCAACCTGGGATATGAAGAATCAACTGTGTTCTTTTTATGCTCACACACTATCAGCAGGAGCCTGGATACAACTGAACAGTAGATGTAGTTCCGGTGCAACCAAGCGGTGGGAGCTTTTTGTTGTTGGGTTTTTTTTGTGATGATGCATTGAAGGATAATTCAGCTTGACTTTCAGGTCTCAGGCTGAATTTGAAGGACTAGCAGTTAGAAAAAGAATAGTTTTCATTTGTAAATTGAGCAAATTTGATCTGGAGTCAAACAACAAAAATGGAATCATTATTATAATTACTTTTCAGAGTTTAAAACTGATACTTAAGCTGACGTCCAACTTCACGATTTTATGTAGAACATTAAAATGTGTGCTAACATTAAGAGTTAACATTTAGTTGCATCCTAAAAATACTGAAAAACTATTTCACAAGTATCATATGTATGCTGTAGAAAAGGCATGGCTATCAGATGATCCATTCCCCGCTTCTTGGTTCAGACAGGAGCATTTCATCCTCTCTGGCCCAAGTGGAAAAAGTGAGGAAAATTTAACCAGAAGACGATGCACCTCAAAATATGATTCTCTAAACTATAAGAAAAATGGTAGGTTTCTTTCTTCTCTTATATAGATAATTAGGAGGCCATTTATAATGCCCACACCCCCTTCTTGTAGGAAAAAGAAGAGCAAGTGTATTTCAAAAAGGAGCACCTCTCATTCTGTAAGGAGTGTAATTATACCTGACAATAAAACACTTACCCAAACTGTTCCATGAATTGGAAAATGCATTCCCTTTGAACCCCACAAGGGAAATGATAACTTCGTTTGCATTTGGGTGCTACACATCCAATCGAAGCACCTTTTTTCTTACAGATATTACATTTCTAAGAGAAAGTTTTAGAAATGAAAGCCTATTAAAACTTAAGTCCAATTAAAATTGCTGGAATTATAACATTAACAAAAGAAATCTGACATAAGGAGCATAGAAAAGGAAATGATGCTATACTGAACTGTTCCAGAGGATATTCTAGCTAGAATTGTAGCATTACTAATTTACTTCTGTTATGTACTTTTCAAAGACTTAAACTCTGACAAATCGGCTGGCATTCCATATTTTAATCATGGTATCCAAGGTTGGTGTATCCATTGTTAAAATATGTTAATTCTATCAACAAAAATATACAAACAGTTTGGGGCTCAACAGATGCCATAGAGGCAATCTGGATATTTTAGACAACCTGCTCTCTTAACTGGTTCCTGCTCAGCTATTCGAGTTAGACTTGTCAAAAACGTTAATGTTTTTGTTTCATCCTGGAAATGTAAGGATCTACCCCACCATCTGTTTTATCAGTCCTTTATGTTTTGTCCCAAAGACTCTGATTAAGTTGACACCCAATCTGTTGGAGAACTGAAAATGAAATTTTCCTCATTGGGTCTCAATCACTGTCTCTTCTCTCTTCTGTAACAAATATCAGCCAAGTTCCATTGTCTATATATATAGACACACACACACACACATATATATATATATATATACACACACACACACACACATACACACACACTTGCCAATATACACAATCATTTAAAAATAAGAATTCAGACACTTGAAAGTAGGATATACTTGCCCATAAAATGAGTCAAATATGACACACAGCACAGTAAGTACTGAAAAATGCAATGGTCAATATTTCAAATTTGTAAAGAAAAATCATTCTTTAATTAAAAAAAAATCTAAAGATTCATTACAGACCAGATGTGTTACTGAGTTTAAAGTGCAAAAATGATTAAACAAATATTAACAGTGATAATACTGGAGCTTGATTCTTACCAATTTTGCAGCTCTGTTTACTTCTTTCCTAATGTCTTTGATTAAAAACCCATAAACTCCTTCATCTTCTTCACCCCTCTGCCAAATTCCACTTGACATCAACTATAAATACAGTTAAAATTAGTAAGAAATTCCAAGACACTAAACTATTTTTAATCAACTTTAATATCTAGGACTGGACTATAAGCATCTGTTGGTATCAATATAGAAAACCCTAGTAGATTTAAACATTTTGTTAAATCAGACAGTGATATTCTTTCATTGCAGAGGCATAATAGTCTTTCCCCCATTCCTCCCAACATACTGCTGCTAAGGAACTGCAGGAATCTATTTGACTAATTCCTAGGACCAAACTTAATATATTCTAGGGTCTAGGAGACAGTGGCTGAGGACCTTGCAGAACAAGCAACACTAATGTAGGAAAGTTTTAGAACACATGACTGTGCCCAGAATGAAAAAAGCAATCTTATCCTAGTCACTTAAAAAAAAAGATCTTTAGCAATTGACTAGTCTAACTTCCACCTAAACAAGAAGAGCATTTTCACACACCGACTCACCAAGCTAATGAGGAGGGCTTTAAACTAGGTTCAAAGAGTGCAGGTGACTAAAGCCCACAGATAGGTATATTAAAAAGGTGGCCTTAATAGAGGGCTACATATTGGGGGGGTGAGGTTGGGGGAAAGAGGAGAGGCAGGGAATGGAAAATTATAGTAGGGTCATGGGAACCTTTGAGAGTCTTTGTTTAGATATGGATGAGCACAATTGAAAGGAATAGTCTAGGTGATTTTCTGAAAGGTTTGGTCCTTTCTAGATAGTAGGCTCCTAATGTCTAGTGTGTGGAACATTGCCTTCCTTTTATTCCTGTGCGGTTTGGGGAAGAACGATGGAAGATGAATAGGCTGATTCAAGTGGAAGGATGAAGGTATTTTAGGTACAAACTTTGGGTGTGGTCTCAAAGTAACTTTATCTTTGAAGAAAACTGTAATGTGGGGAGGTATGCCATGAGAGCTCCTATTTCCATCACTCTTTGGGCGGATGTGATGGCCATGAGAAAGGCAGTCTTCATAGAGAGATGTATGAGTGAGCAAGTCACCATGGGCTCAAGTGGGGGACCAGTGAGGCATCTTAGAACTAAGTTAAGGTCCCAAGGTGTTTAGCATCTCAAGTTTACGGGCAGAGGTTCCAAATACCTCTAAGAAAACTTTTTGTTGCTTGATGCGTGAACACCTGTTGATCTTAAGGCCAAAATTGCCACGAGATGTTCCCTCCGTGAACTTGATGATAGCCTTGATATTTTTAGTCCTAGGATATAGTCCAGCACCAACAGCAAGGGACAAAATATAGCTGTGATGTGTATATTGTCACACCAGATTCAGAATCTCTTTCATTTCTGAAGGTAAGTATAACGTATGGTGGGTTTTCTGCTATTTAACAGTATCTTTTTCACAGCTTCAGAACAAATAATTCGTCATCTTGGAACCATCAAGGAGCCATGCTTTCACATAGAGAACGTCTAAATTTGGGTGGCAAATCTGGCCTGCATCCTGACACAGGAAGTGTGGAAAGGGATGAAGAGTGATTGGTGGGCACACCGTCATTCATAAAAGGTAAGGGAACCATGTCTGTCTGGGCCCAAGTTGGGGCTATCAAAATGATCATGGCCTTTTCTTCTTTTATTTTGTGTATTACTTTCGGTATTAATGGGAAAGAGGAAAGGCATATAGAAGGAAGAAAGGCATCCCCCAGAAATTGATGATCCAGTCCTGCTCTTGAGCAGAATTGTGGGCACTTGCTGTTCCTGGCCGTGGCAGAAAAATCTATGCTTGTGTAGGACCATGGTATCTAGCTCCCACTCATATTCTTGTGAGAATTTCCTGCTGAGCGTGTCCAGCTGTCATTTTTTACAGTGCTGGTAGATAAGTAGCTCATGTGGACAAATGAAAGATCTTTCTATAGCGTGGTATCTACCGGGTCTTCTCTTTTGTATCGGTGTATAAGTACCAAATGATCTTAATGTTGCTCTCGAATCTTTTAGGGATTGGAGGGATTCATCTGCAAATAATTCGTACTCTTCAAATCAGAGATCCTCAACTGTGGCCTGCACCTCTTTCAGGAATCTGGAAAGATGTAGCCACGATGCCCTTTGCATGACCACTGCTGTAGCTATCAAAAGAACAGCCATGTCAGCTGCATCTAAGGAAGCTTGTAATGCAGTCCGCACCAGTAGCTGACCCTCCACCATGATTACTTGAAGTTGTTTCTTTTTGTCTTCCAGAATATACTCAATAAATTCACTCAATTTGGAGTAATTTGTGTGATTATATTTTGACATAAGCACTTCATAGTTGGCAATTCTAAATTGCAGAGTTGTTGATGAATATGCTTTTCGTTCAAATAGATCTAATCTCTTCCAATCTTTGTCATATGGTGTCATCTTAGTATGGTGCTGTCTTCCACGTTTGTTCACAGCGTTGACAACCAATGAATTTGGTGTAGGGTGCGAACATAAAAAGTCCATGTCCTTCAAGGGTACATAATACTTCTTGTCTGCCCTCTTACAGGAGGAGGGTATTGTGGCCGGAGTCTGCCAGACAGTTTTAGCTGGGTCTAATAGCACCTCATTGATAGGAAGAGCGATTTTTGCTGATGTTCAAGTTTGCAGGATATCAATGTTGTGATTCTCTCACTTCCTCTAATGGAACTTAAGAGAATCTGCTATCCTCCTGAACAGTTCCTGGAATTTCCTGTTATCATCTGCTGTCATTAGTCGGGGAGAGGCATGACTGCTTCATCACATGAAGACAAAGAGATATTGCTTGCAGGCGTGGTTTCCTTATCCAGTCTCTCTTCCTGTTCCTTTAAAGACTCTCCTTCAGGCTCATGTGGCCTAGCTATTGAGGATGATGGAGAGTGTCTCATTCTCTCTCTGGAGGGTCTGGAAAATTGTTGCCGGTATGCAGCCCCTGGGTCCCAATAAGGACATTGTGGGGGGGGGGGGAGGGGAAAGGCATGGGTGGGAGAATCCATGGGTGTCAATACCAAGCTTTTGGGTCACCTCTGGCTTCATGGTATCTTGCCTGAGCATAAGGGTTGATTTATGCAGCTCCCTGATGTGATGGGGGGCTATATGGTGCAAGAGAATAAATCTCTTCCTCCTCCTCCTCATCACTAGAGAAGGGAAGTGCGGTCCTGGAGGGTGATGGATAGATATGGTATGCACCTCCGGGGATGAGGTGCATACTGTGGTGGTATTGGTAAGCAAAAGTATAGATTCAGATGTATCAAAAACCAGTGTGGTCTTTTGGAAGTCTAAATTCCTGCAGTACTGGCACCATCATCATCAGTACTGTGGAAGGCATTTGCACCGGTGCCGCTGCAGTGGAAGAGGTTGTCAGTGCTGAGGTTGTTCTGTGCTCCACTGAGTGTCCAGCAGGTGGCGCCGTAAGTCTTATTGGTGCCGATGTGCTTGGTACCGCGAGTCTAAGTGGTTCAGTAGGTACCATCTTTGAGGATCTGGATTTTTCCTTGCCACTATCGCTTGACAGTGCCCTTTTGTCCAGTCCTGCCCTATTGGGGTCCTTGGACTTACCAGCGGCAATGGTACAAGAGGACCTAGGATCCTGGCATATCCTTATGCCAGTTGGTGACGAAGCCACCAATCTCACCAGAGATCTTTGTGTTTTAGCTGGCTCTTTGATAAGCGAAGTTGAAGCCCGCTTCTTGGCAACTTTTTGTGAGGAATCTGTTGATTTCCTCTTCATAGCCAGTGGGGAGTGTGGAGCAGCTGATGTTGATGCTGATGGAAACCACTGTCCGGGGGAGGAGGTTCTGGTACCAGAACAAAAAGCACTAAGAAACTCACTACGAAAAGGCTCTGTTAGGGACTCCGTCTCAGGCCAAGCGTGGCTGAGAAGGAATTGAGGGCGGTTTGGCCACACAGCACTTTATAGCCCCCGAATGTGGAGCATGACGGGGAGAGCACATGTGCAGCCCAAACAGGCACTGCTACCAAAAATCTCTGATCCTAGGCACAGGGATGCAGACACACTTAAGTGGAGCACACACAGGGACACTACTCGAAGAAGTAGTGTAGGTTCATACTTAGCAGGGAGGGAGAGCTAACAACAGATGACATCAAGAAGGCGGAGGTGTTTAATGCCCATTTTGCATCAGTCTTCATTAAAAAGGTTAATGGTGACCAGATACTTAACCCAATTAATATTAACAACACGGAGGAAGGAACACAAGCCAGAATAGGAAAAGAAAAGGTTAAAGAATATTTAGAGAAGTTAGATGTAGCCAAGTTGGCTGGCCATGATGAAATGCACCCTAGGTACTTAAGGAACTAGCTGAAACAATCTTGGAACTATTAGCAATTATCTTGGAGAACTCTTGGAGGATGGGTGAGGTGCCAGAGGACTTGAGAAAAACAATCATAGTACCAATCTTTAAAAATGTGAACAAAGAGAACCTGGGGAATTCTAGACCAATCACAGCCTAACTTCGATACCTGGAAAGATATTGGAACAAATTATTAAACAATCAATAGGTAAGCACCTAGAGGATAATAGGGTTAAAATGAATAGCCAGCATGGATTTGTCAAGAACAGAGCATGCCAAACAAACCTAATTTCCTTCTTTGAGAGTGTTATTGGCCTAGTGGACAGGGGGAAGCAGTAGATGTGATATATATATGATTTTATTAAAGTTTTTTCAATTTTTGAATTCAAAATGACCTTGGACCAATTGAAGAATTGGTCTGAAATCAACAAGATGAAATTCAATAGAGACAAGTGCAAAGTACTACCCTTAGAAATTAAAAAAAAAATCAATTGCACAACTACAAAATGGGGAGTGGTACTGCTGAAAAGGATTCAGGGATTACAGTGGATCACAAAATGAATGAGTCAATAATGACGCAGTTGTCAAAAAGGCTAATATTCTGAAGTGTATTAACAAGAGAGTTATATGTAAGACACAGGAGGCAATTGTTCTGCTCTATTCGGCACTGGTGAGACCTCAGCTGGCGTACTGTGGCCAGTTTTGGGCGCCACACTTTAAGAAAGATGTGGACAAATTGGAGAAAGTCCAGAGGAGAGCAACAAAAATTGGTCAGGTTTTCCAAACCTTTTATCATTAGGAAAGGTTAAACTAACTTGACAAGTTTAGTCTTGAGAGAAGATTTTGGGGAGAACCTGATAGTCTTCAAATACGTTAAGGGCTATTATAAAGAGGACAGTGATCAATTGTTCTCCATGTCTTCTGAAGGTAGGGTAAGCAATGGGCTTAATCTGCAGCAAGGGAGATTTAGGTTAGATAGTAGAAAAAACTTTCTAACTATAAAGATAATTAAGTACTGGAATATGAAGGGAGTTTGTGGACTCCCCACCATTGGAGCTGTTTAAGAACAAGTTGGACAAATGCCTGTCTGGGATGGTGGTCTAGGTTTACTTCGTCCTACTTCAGTGTAGGGGACTGGACTAGATGACCTCTCGAAGTCTCTTCCAGGCCTACATTTCTATCAGTTCTTAATAAAAACACAGACTATAATTTATTTGAAAGCACAAGGAATAGGTGAATATACTGAGTAATGCCAACAAGGATTTTAGAAACAGATCATGCCAAAATAATCTGATGGCCCTTTGATACGGCTACATATTGAGTGGACAAGCTAAGTATTCAAGATATTTTATTTGTGTAAAAAGCCTTGCTGAAATACATTACCAAACTGGAAGTTCATTAAAGAAATTAGAAGAGTATTATCTGCATAATAAAATAAACAGCAAAAATTCATCAGAATAACTTGGAACTCTTGTTCGACAAGTGGGAAATGAGAACACAGTAGTGTACAATGATATATGTTGAGAAAAAAACAACAGGAACACAAATGTGATAGTTACTTGTAAGAATCTTAAAGACAGATTTTAATGAAATATTTGAAACTGTCATAATAGAAAAAAATATCAAGGAAATAACTGCACCTTGTGTCCTTTTTGTTTCTTAAGAAGCCTATAGCTCTTATTGCATCCACAGGACTTAAGTAAAAACCATAACTGGTTTAAAGACACTAACACAGTGGTGGGCAACCTGCTTCTGGGCCGTGAGATATTTTGCGGACGTTGACCGTCTGCAGTCACGGCCCCCCGCAGCTCCCAGTGGCCACGGTTCGCTGTTCCTGGACAATGGAAGCTGCGGGAAGTGGCGGCCAACATGTCCCTGCAAATCGCAGCCACTAGGAGCTGCAGGGGGCTGTGCCTGCGGACGGTCAACATCAGCAAAACGTCTTGCGGCTTGCAATCAGATTATCCTGATGGACCCCATGCAGCCCTGAGGTTGCCCACCACTACACTAACACGACTCATGTGGATAATTCACTATGAAGCAACGATAAGCTATGTTTTATGTTGTTTCTTCAAAGGCACACAGAACTGAAGGTACTCCCCAGAGAAAGAAGGTGAATGGCCAATGGCCTGCAGTAAAGAAGCTCTAACTTACAGTAGCCTTACCCAACTTGCTTTGCAGCCCAGAATCTCTGAAGCACTTAGTGCTACAAGCATGCCCCTTCCCACTCTCCACACAGGGAACTGCGAAGGAGGACTGCATAGGGACTCTTATATCAGCCCTATGCTGATTCTGCATCAGGAAATTCTCCCATAGCCTACTGTGGCCTCCTTACACGGCCAAAGCAGTGTATAGGGGCGTTGGTGAGAGCCAGAATCTATCCCAATACCTTAAAAGTAATCTACAAAGAAAAACGATGGGCTTGCACCTTTTTCTATCTTCATAAAATGTAATAGCAGTCTGCAACCATGTGCACGCACACAAGTGTGTGTACATTTAGTAGTTTATTCCCCCCCAGATTTTTATGTTGGATCTTCAGGTCTTGTCTGCCCAGGAAAGCTGATGACAATTAAAGAACTAGTAAAACAATAATACCATAAGAAAGAGCAAAAAGAATTTTAGGGGGACTGTTTACAATTTTGGTTTTTGTTTAACATTATTTAATTTCAATGACTATTACATTTATTTTAGAAACAGGATATCTTGGTTTAAGGTTCAAAACCCAACCCCTTCTATCAACTAATGCCAGCCCTGGAGACTCCATTACAATGGGGTCCCGACCCACAGTTTGAAAACTGCTGCTAGCGCTATAATGAAGCCAGATAATGCAAAGTGAGGAACAACACATAGCAAACAAAGAACTACATGTATGCTGCTAAAAACAGAATTATACTGAAAGGGGTAGGGGAAATATTTTAATGAAGGCTTGAGTTCTTAGATCCTAAAATTATGAAACGAAATCAAAATTAATTTAAATGAAGATGGGATAACATGGATCCATTACCACCAATTTTTGAAAACGCCATCAAGTTTTTATGATTTGGGAATGTGCTAATTGCTAATGTGACTATTCAACAGTGAGTAACAACCTATTATGGTTTCAGAGTAGCAGCCATGTTAGTCTGTATCCACAAAAAGAACAGGAGTACTTGTGGCAAATAAATTGGTTAGTCTCTAAGGTGCCACAAGTACTCCTGTTCTTTTAACCTATTATGGTGTGTTTTCTTTCTGCTGCTGTATCTTTAAAATAACTGAAAAGGCTCAATTAATCTCCCCAAAAGAAAATAATTTGGAAATTAGAAGAGAGATTTTGGAATTTTGCAGACAAAGAGTTGCAGGTTCTCTGCTGTTTAGTTTACCAATTCTCATCAGAAAAATCGGTAAGTTCCTAGAATTCAGTTCAGGATCAATATGAAATACTTACCAAGCAGTAGTAATGAACAGTGAGATTGTATTCCTTGTAAGTTCTCTTTTCTCCATATTTTTCGGGACAGTCATCAGTTCGTTGACAGAGGACACAGGCTAAAAATATTGAAACACTGTTTAGAAACACTTAATGGAAATGGTCTGTTAACAGAAAATGCTGGTTCTAACCCTTAAATAAATTAAGTATGAGCTAGGCTACTGGATAAGTGTAGTAAAGCCAGTATCACCCATCTGGTATTCACCAGATGGAATTCAATGTTGTGTTTGTTTACCACACTCCACTTACTTTAAGTGGCTGTTGTTTCTCTCCACTTTTTGTAGGTGCTCCCCTAGCCTTCCTTCTTTTTTCATGGGTAGGCTTTGAAGTGCAGAGCAGAAAGAGCAAGAGAAGAGAGATTGCAAGTTGCTCCTTCCCTGGCTCCTGCTAGATCCTAGTGAACAAGGGATTTTGCTCACCCAGCAGGCGCCTCTTGGAACCTACCAGCAAGCCACACGCCATCAATTGAAATGCCCTGTTTTAAAGGCCAGCTAAGGTGGTATCTTTAATATTGTGTCAGTTGAGTGCCTAAACACTATGGTGAGTTGTACATTATAAATGTGTAGAGCAATTGATATCTGAATATAAACACATTGTACCCAACTTTTTTTGTAGAAATATAATGATATTGATGATCTCAATAACATAATAAGATCAATGGAAAGAATCATTACTTACCTGTTAGTAACTGTGGTTCTTGGAGATGTTCTGCACATGTAGATCCCACTTATGGTGTCCATGTGCCCCAGCAAAGGAGTTCAGAGCATTTTCACTAGCAGTGTCCAATAGGGGTCACACATGCCCTGAGGGCATAGTGGGCACAGCAACCCCAACTGCCACTCAGTTCCTTCATCACCCAGAATCCTCATTTGTAAGACTTTGAGCTGCCGGTATGGAGGGCGGGTCATGGGATCTACATGTGAAGAACATCTCAAAGAACCCCAGTTACTAGATAAGTAACTGTTCTTTAAGGAGGTGGAAGCTAGAAGTTATCTGTAAAGAGACTGCAAAATAGCTCTTCCAAAATGGGCATCAGATCTTGAAACTGTGACTTAATAATGTTTTGTAAGCATATGAGCTGAAGACCAGGTAATTGCTCTACAAATTTCTGATATTGGAACCCAACTTCAGCATGCTATTGAGGCTGTTTGCACTCTGGTGGAGTGAGTTTGCATGTTTGATGGAGGACTCTTATTAATATTATAAGCAGTTCTAATATAATCCATACCCATTCTAGCCATGCCTTTTGATTTATTATCATAAACAAAGAAAAAAGTCTTGGCATTTTACCAAAAAATCTAGTGCTACCTAGGTAATATAATGGTGACCTCACATCTAATGTATGTAATTTTGCAGGTGAAGAATGAGGTTTTGGAAAAAAAGCTGGAAAATGACTGCATCGATTGATATGAAAATTTGAGTACTTTAGGAATAAAAGATTGATGTGGTCTCATAGTTACTCTATCCATGTAAAAAACTGTATAGAGGATTTATCGTTAGGGATTGTAATTTGCTTATTCTACATGCTGATGTAATTCCTACCAGGAATGCTACTTCACTGTCTGTAGATGAATTGGACAATTTGATAGCGGTTCAAGGAGGTCAAGTGTGAGTGGGCCACAAGTGAAGAAAGCATTAAATTTGAAGTTCCATGCTGGAGCAATCTTTCTCACAGGAGGAAAAATGTGGGGAAAAAATTTCATAAATCTATTCACTGACTGATGAAGTTGCACCTCCCTCTTCTGGAGGATGAAATGCGGATATCACTGCCAAATAGACTTTGACTGAAGAGATATATTTAAAGCACTTGGGACTAAGAGGTAATTATTATTGGAACAGAACTCGGACATGGAGCCCAGAGATCTTCTGCCAGATCCAATATTCCTTCATTAATAGGTAACGCAACCCTGCTCTGGGATGCTGGCTGTAGAATATCAAAGGGTTTATATATGCTTTTTCCTGAACTGTCTCCAAAGGAACTTCTAGTGTTTTTGCCATATGCTTCAATAATTCCTGAAAAGTTTTAAAATCATCAGCTGAAAGAGGTGTAGCCTGTGACCTGGTTCCATCAGGTAAGGAAGAACCACCAAATATAGCATCAGACGGATTGTCCTGATGGGCTGGTATTTCATCATCACTTAAAATTTGTTATTCCTCTGTATCTTGAACTCGAAGAGTGATCAGACTTATAAGAGTTTGCAGCAGGTGATTCACAATTAGATCCTGTCTATTGTGGGAATATTGTTCCTGAAATGGACGATATCGAGGCCATGAGAACCAATATGGCCATCTGGGAAAGGGACATTGTGTCCCTTTCGGAGGGAACCAAGGGGCATAGTGAGAATTAGCATCTCACAGAATCATAGACTTCAAGGTCAGAAGGGAACATCATGATAACTTAGTCAGACCTCCTGTACATTGCAGGCCACAAAACCTTACCCATCCACTCCTGTAATAGACCCACTATGTCTGGCTGAGTTACTCAAGTCCTCAAATCATGATTTAAAGACTTCCAAGTTACAAAGAGTTTAAACCTGCAAGTGACCTGTGCCCCATGCTGCAGAGGAAGGCAAACCCCGCTGCCCCCCAGAGTCTCTGGCAATCTGACCTGGGAGAAAATTCCTTCCTGACCCCAAATATAGTGATCAGTTGGACCCTGAGCATATGGTCAAGACCCACCAGCCAGACACCTGGGAAAGAATTCTCTGTAGTAACTCAGCCCTCTCCATCTAGTGTCCCATCAACAGCCACTGGAGATATTTGCTGCTAGTAGCTGCAGAATGGCTACATGCTTGTAGGGAGTCCCATCATACCATCCTCTCCATAAACTTATCAAGCTCAGTCTTGAAGGCAGTTAGGTTTTTTTGCCCACTCTGCTCCCCTTGGAAGGCAGTTTTAGAACTCCACTCCTCTAATGGTTAGAAACCTTCACCTAATTTCAAGCCTAAAATTGTTGATGGCCAGTTTATATCCATTTGTCCTTGTGTCCACATTGGCGCTTAACTTAAATAACTCCTCTCCCTCCCTGGTATTTATCCCTCTGATATATTTAGAGAAAGCAGTCATATCTCCTGTCAGGCTTCTTTCGGTTAGGCTAAACAAACCGAGCTCTTTGAGTCTCCTCTCATAAGGTAGGTTTTCCATTGCTCAGATCATCTTAGTAGCCCTTCTCTGCACCTGTTCCAGTCTGAATTCATTTTTCTTAAACATGGGACAACAGAATTGCAAAAAGTATTCCATATGAGGTCTCGCCCAGTGCTTTATATAATGGTACTAACACTTCCCTGTCTTTCCTGGAAATACCTCGTCTGATGCATCCTAGGACTGCATTAGCCTCTCTCACAGCTGCATCATATTAGCGGCTCATAGTCATTCTGTGATCAACCAAAACACCCAGGTATTTCTCCTCCTCTGTCAGTTCCAACTGTAAGTCCCTAGCTTGTTGCAAAAATTCTTGTTGTTAGTCCTTAAGTGCGTGACCTTGCACTTTGCACTATTAAATTCATCCCACTTCTATTACTCAGTTTTCAAGGACCTCCAGATCTTCTTGCATGATATTCCGGTCCTCCTCTGTATTGGCAATACCTCCCAACTTTGTGTCATCCACAAATTTTATTAGCACACTCCAATTTTTTGTGCCACGGTCTCATTATTAAAAATGTTAAATAAGATAGGGATGGTCTTGGGGCCAGAGAAACTCCACTAGTAACCTCCCTCCAGCCTGACAGTTCACCTCTCAGTATGACCCATTGTAGTCTCCCCTTAACAAGTTTCTTATCCACCTTTCAATTCTCATATTAATCCCCATCTTTTACAATTTAACTAATAATTTCCCATGTGGAACTATCAATAGCCTTATTGAAATCCAGGTAGATTAGATGTACTGCGTTTCCTTTGTCTAAAAAAACAATAATAATAATCAGTTATCTTCTCAAAGATCTGGCACGATCTACCTTTTGTAAAACCATGTTGTATTTTATTCCAATTACCATTTGCCTCTATGTCCTTAATTATTTTCTCTTTCAAAATTTGTTCCAAGACCTTGCATACAATTGAGGTCAAACTAACAGGCATCTTTAGGTTAATTAGGAGGCTCTTGTTCATATGCCTCCCTAAACTTTTCTTTCCGTCCGTCTGACTTCCTCTTTGGTGGAGGACTCCTGCTAGAGTCTATAGAGGAATCAGAAGCCATGACAGGAGACTGAAGGATTTGAGCGGGTGTTAAATCCTTGATTGTAATGACATGTTGGTTCAAAGATATTTTAATTAGATGCACCCTAGGTTTCTTTTTGAGGAGGGGCTCCATCCAGTATTGAGATCAGGGAAACCGCCAGGATTGGTGACTCGGGTACTGGAGTGACCCTAAGGTCTAATGAAGACACATAAGAAGCTTTTGGAGCTGCAAATTTAGTTGTAAAAGGTCCCTGCAAGGAGGATGCTATAGATGCCTCTCTGCTATGAAGCTTTCTCTGCAGCTAAAACCACTGGTGCACAGCAGACTTCGATTAAAGCTGCCAGTGCTGACAAGGAAAGCATTGCAGAAGACTGTCCTGGGCACTCTGACAGTGCTGCTGAAGCCAGTGCTGATGAGAAGGAAGTCATATGACCCTTTGAGCTCCTTCCCTTGAGATCTTTTAACTGAAGAAGTAGAGGAAGGTTTCTGTATCAGCTCTGTGCAGTGGTGCAGCATGGCAGCACTCTTAGGCTTGGTCTACACTACCCCCCTAATTCGAACTAAGGTACGCAACTTCAGCTACGTGAATAACGTAGCTGAAGTCGAAGTACCTTAGTTCGAACTTACCTTGGTCCACACTCGGCAGGCAGGCTCCCCCGTCGACTCCGCGGTACTCCTCTCGCCGAGCTGGAGTACCGCAGTCGACGGCGAGCACTTCCGGGTTCGACTTATCGCGTCCAGACTAGACGCGATAAGTCGAACCCAGAAGTTCGATTGCCAGCCGCCGAACTAGCGGGTAAGTGTAGCCAAGGCCTTAGCACACATCCTTTGAAGAACTCTGCACTCCCGGCAGCAAAGAGAGGGCTTGGTCCAGAAAACAGAGTCAGGGTCACTCAGTCCTTGGACAGCAAGGGTCTCTGACTGCTCCGATGGACCTGAATCTTTTTTAATTGCTCCTGAATTAGGTGTCAAGTTTCTGGTGACAGAAGCCTTGGAGAGATGAGCTGGGAAAACAGAAGCCTCTGTATCAGGTCTGTGCTGAGTCAGACATAACTCTCATGGACCTTTCCCTAAGATAAAGCTTCAGTTTGGACTACCACTCTTTGTGTGCGCACTTCTTGAAAGAGTTGCAAACTGCACACTTAGCCATGACAGATTCCTCACCCAGACAGCAAAGGCATCTGTTGAGATCTCCCCACAGGAGGACATGGCTTGAAGCCTGGGCTCTGCCATAAGTGATTGTTCCTTTTTTTTTTTTTTTTTTTTTTTTTAAAACCCACTGAGAACATGCTACTTGAAACAGTAACAAGTACATTAGCTACTAAGTATGAATAAATTATTAAGTAACAAGATTACTACAAAGGGACACTATGTTATTCTGACCTTGCCTCATGGTAAGAAGGAACTTCGTGGTGGTTGCTGTACCCTTTAAGCCCTGAGGGAAGGGGACACAAGGCCACAAAGAGCATATGTGTGACCCCTATTGGCAATGGTAGAGTATAAAACATTTTCACATGTGATGGGGCACATGGACACCAGAAATGGGATCCACATATGCAGTAACTTGAAGAACTGTGTTACTACTTTTTAGTCCATTGCTTTTTCATATGTATGTGTGGCAATCATTTGGCAGTACACGATTCAGTGTAAGGCGTTCCATTGTCTGCATTAAGTCACATATTTAAAATGCCCATACATTGTACAATAGTGTTTCAAAACAGATCCATTAGCAAATTCAAGAACACCTTACTCATTTAACAAATTTAAAACACAAAAACAAACTATTAAGGTTACCAAGAAATTCAGAAAACTAACAAAGCTAGAAACAAACATCTTAAATTAATTTCAAATATCTTAATTCTGACCTGCAGTAGAAATAAATTAAAGTTTTTCTTAAATTTACTGATACTTCCATTAACCTAAAGGAACCATATTCATTTAATGCTAATGGTAAACAGTCACAACAAATAAAGGAAACAGTGCTATTTTAAACTCTTCTATTTTCTGAAAAGTGAAGTCTCAACTTAATAGATATGTCTCACACACAGCTAAATTTAACGCAGCAGTTAAAAAAAAAAAAAGTGATTTTTTAAAAGCATTTATTTGCAAAACTATCAAAATATGTTTTAAGCATAAACATAATTATGGGAAGCCTTTATCAAAATTAGGGAAATAAGTCATCAAGAATATCATGCCATCCTGAACTCACCCTGAAAGGAATCATTTTTCAACACACAATTTTACTATTGAAATTTCAGCCATTCTTTTAAACCATTGCATTACCAAGCAACATGCTGGAGTCATCCTGTTGAATTTAAATTGAAATCCTACATTAAAATTGCCTTTGTATTGCAGCTAGGGTGATCAGATGTCCCAATTTTATAGGGACACTCCCGATTTTGGAGGCTTTTTCTTATATAGGCACCTATTACCCCCCACCCCGTCCCGATTTTTTACACTTGTTATCTAGTCACCCTAATTGCAGCATCTACAAGTTCTGTAAACATTTAAATACAGTAAGTTAGAATCAGTGGTTCTCAACAGGGATATGTGTACCCCTGGGGGGTACGCAGAGGTCTTCCAAGGAGTACATCAACTCATCTAGATGTTTGCCTAGTTTTGCAATAGGCTACATAAAAAGCACTAGCAATGTCAGTACAAACCAAAATTTCATACAGACAATGCCTTGTTTAGACTGCTCTATATACTATACACTGAAATGTAAATACAATATTTCTATTCCAATTGATTTATTTTATAATTACATGGTAAAAATGAGAAATTAAGAAATTTTTCAGTAATAGTGAGCTGTGACACTTTTATATTTTTATGTTTGATTTTGTAAGCAAGTAGTTTTTAAGTGAGGTGAAACTTGGGGGTAAGCAAGACAAATCAGACTACTGAAATGGGTACGGTAGTCTGGAAAGGCTGAGAGCCACTGTGCTATATCATTTAATTAACCTTACTTACCTGGGCTTTGGAAGCGGCAGAGAGTATTTTCATTCATTCTAGTACCTTTCTTCTAGCTGTTCACTATGGAAATTAAAAACAAGAGGTCAAAAGTATTCAGTTTGTTGAAGATGGTACACTGCATTTTACTGTATTTAATCCAATTTTCTTTTCAACTCAAGAAGTTGAGAGACTAAATCACCTACTTCTAAATTTTTCCTTTTACAATGCTTCCAAGATGGTCTCAAAGTCCTAACAAATTAAAATTCATCTTTCACTCTGAAAGGTAAAAGTTGAAAAGGATAAAGGTTGAAAAGGTGAAATCTGATCTCCCTTTGAAATCTGATCTTTTGTGTATTTTTTACTCTATACAGCGTTTCTCAAACTGCGGATCCCGACCCAAAAGGGAGTCACAAGGTTATTGTAGGGGGGTTGCGGTATGGCCAACCTTACTTCTGTGCTGCCTTCAGAGCTTGGCAACCAGAGAGCGGCGGCTGCTGGCCGGGCACCCAGCTCTGAAGACAGCACCACCAGAAGCAGCAAAGAAGTAAGGGTGACATGGTATGGTACTACCACCCTTACTTCTGTGCTGCTGATGGCAGCGGCACTGCCTTCAGAGCTGGGTGGCCGAAGAGTGGTGGCTGCTGGCTGAGCACCCAGCTCTGAAGCCAGCGCCATTGGGGGGTTGTCACTCTTTTGGGAGGAACAGGGGGTTCGTCATGAGCTTTACAAGTTTATATATTTCTGTTTTCAAATACATATTCATGCTTTGTTACAACACCATGAAATTTAAGATTTAAATATCTGAAACCAAGAAATTCAAGATTTTTAAAATGCTATGACCGGGAAATTTATGAAATTTGGTAGGGTCCTAACAATAAGCCTTTCATTAAGGCAATTTGCCTCTGACTTCCCCAGCATTTGGGAACCAAACCATGAACAAGTTTTATTTCCTTTTCCAAAAGATACTTTTGCAAACACACTGGCAAAGACCTTGCAGTTTGCCTATCAAATTAGTCAATTATGCATTTATTTAAATGCAAATTTGTTCTCAATTAAAATCAACTGACAAGATTTCAGTTTCTGCAAAAAATACCACACAACACACTGGACCACACTCTTCCCTGATGCAATTCACTGGCCTTTAGTGGAGTTACACCAGGAAGAAATCTGATCCATTTTGTTAATATTTACTACAGCATTTCCCAAAATGTAGGATGCAAAGTAGCAGCTGTGGAGGAAAGGAGGGTATGGATAGGCCTTAATTGTTTTCCAGAACTTTTAACTATTATGCTTACGAAGAAAACTTGATCCAAGTATAACTGATGCAGTGGTGTCTCCCTGAAGTTGCAGACAGTGTGGATTAGATTTAAGGTATGAACTATCCCAATCATTTAAATGGTCAAAACACATGACAAAGTTGAGGAATATCACATTATGAAGATCTACAGAGAGTGACCGATTATTTTGGATAGACCTGTTCACATTTTACACCACAATAGGGCTAAAGGCAGTTGACTTCATTTTCCTTACTAAGGGCTCAGCTTCCAAAAATCTGGGAAATGCTGGTTGACTGAACAAGAAACATGCAACAAAGCTGAAAACTATAGCCACTCTTCAAGGAGCTGTTGGCAATGCACATGGGAAGAAAACTGTAACATTTCTAGGAATCAGAAGTAAAACATAGAAGAGGCCTATCAGGTCATGTAATCCATCTGCTGGTGCAGGAATATTTATAGAAGTGAAGGCTTGTGCTTGAAATAATCTGAAATCACTAGTTATACAATTTAATGTGTTAACCATTTTATTCAATCTCATTTTATTTTAATACTTTTGGACAATTTTAACTTCAGGTTATATATCTACATACTGTATATCACATTTATTATGCCCGTATGCTGCCAAACAAATCAACTAATCAAGATTGGCAGAAATGGCATCAAGTGACAATTTAACTGAATCTGATAATCTACAAAGGAGTTATTTTTCCCACCCTTCTTTGGTGAAGGAGTCAAGAACAGAGTTTAAAACAGTATCTTACCTCTTTGGAACTTCCCTTGAAAGATGTTTTTTCTCACTCAGCAATGGCCACTGGCACCCTCAAGGTCTTCAATCTTCAAGGGCGCTCGAACTGAGGGACCATCTGTACAGGTAAAGAGGATCCCAGATGTCAGTACCCTATGGCTTAATGAAATGGTGAAAAATCCTGATAGATAGACGGAGCTTAGGTTTGGTTGGCAATGAGAAGCACAAATGTCAGAACCTAACATTTCATTCTCTCTTTTGGGTTGGGGAGGAGAAGAAAGAGGAGGAAGTGCTACTAAAAGCAGTGGGTTGCTCTCTTATCTCAGTGCAGCATGCCCTGGAGTTTTTAATTCACAAATTAAGGATCTGTGAGAGCAAAACCTTGCCTGTGCACAAAGCCCCCCACTCCAGTGGGGGTTCCATACAGATGCAAAGGTTTTCCTGCGTGGATCTAGTTGCACGATTGGAGCCTAAATCATTGCCCACTGGGTACAAAAATGAGACAGTAGTCAACTATTTTGCCGGAATTATTGTTTCCTCAAGTCTGCCACTAATTTTGAAATCAAATATTTCCCACATTTAATCAACAGCTGAAGTCTATAAGAAATGGGAACTTGCAGGCAATAGGTAAGATGGCTCCTAAGGACTGTAGTATCTTTAATACAGAAACAAAAGTTGTTTTAAAAATGAAATTGGTTTACAATACCTTGCATTTGGAGTCTACTTCCTAGAAGACTGTTTACTTGGGGGAAAAACAATTAAACCTAAGGAAATGCTAGACAAGTTAATACGTAATAAGTGATTTAACTTGTTTTTGTGCTACTGGCCTTCCAATATTTGTGTCATACCTACTTACAATTACTATATACCAAACCTCATAAACAGCCCATACTTATGGCACCTCATTAACCCTACTACATTGTTCTCCAGAATCTAAGCTATCAGTTTCAAAATAAAGGGCAAGTCCACATTACAAAATTAAGTCGACAGAAGTTACATCAATGTACATCTGTCACAGTTATTAAGTCGCTTTTGCATGGCCACACTACACTTGTGTCAGCAGTGTGTGTCCTCACTAGCAGCACTTGCACTGATGCAGAGAGCAGTCCACTGTGGGTAGTTATCACACCGTGCAACTCGCCATCATCTAATGCAGGATGTTTTGGGAAAGATTTCCAATGCCTCATGGAAGCAAACAAGTTGCACAGGGGTGACTGGGAACATGATTTCGACATCCCATGATGCTGTTTTCTCCATCTCATAATTTTATCTGCATCCCATGTTTTGGCCTCTTTTCAAAAGCAAACCCACATGTCAGCCATCTCTGTGAAAAGCATGGCTCTTGAACAGCTCTGCACTACTGAGCGTACAACGCGCCTGATCCCACACACGGAGCTGTGGGCAACATGACAATTCCTTGGAGGCTAGCTTGCTGTGAGACATAGAAACAATTCAAGGTTATTGTTGGCATTCACAGAGCAGCTGCAGATGGAGGAGCATCAGTTCTGGGCCCGAGAAACAAGCACTGACTGGTGGGATCAAATCGTTATGCTGGTATGGGATGATGAACAGTGGCTGCAGAACCTTTGGATGTGCAATGCCACATTCCTGAAGTGTGTGCAGAGCTCACCCCAGTCCTCTGGCACAGCGACACCAAAATGAAAGCAGCCTGACAGTGGAGAAGCCAGTGGTAATCACTGTGTGGAAGCTTGCAACATCAGATTGCTATCAATCAGTCGGGAATCAATTTCGAGTTGGGAAATCCACCATAAAGGCTGCTATGTTGCAAGTGTGCAAGGCCATTAATTGCATCCTGCTACGAAGGACTATGAATCTAGGTAATGTGCAGGACATAGTGGATGGTTTTGCAGCAGTGGGGTTCCTGAACTGCGATGGGGCAACAGATGGCACGCACATCCCTATTTTGGCACTAGACCATCTTGCCACAGAGTACATCAACAGAAAGGGCTACTTTTCTATGGTATTGCAAGCTCTGGTGGATCACCGGGGGCATTTTATCGACATCAGGGTGGGATGGTCAGGGAGGATGCATGATGCACACATCCTTAAGAACACAGGCCTCTACAGAAGGCTGCAAGCAGGGGCTTTCCAGACCAGAGGATTACCATTGAGGATGTTGAAATGCCAATACTGATCCTGGGAGACCCAGTCTACCCCATTACTCCCACGGCTCATGAAGCCATACACCAACCACCCCATTACTCCCATGACTCATGAAGCCATACACCAGCCACCTCAACAGCAGCAAGGAGCGCATCAACTACAGGCTCCACAGGCGCAGAATGACATTTTAATGTGCCTTTGGCCATCTGAAAGGCTGGTGGTGCTCTCTACTTATGAGATTAGACCTCAGTAAAAACAAAATATCCCAATGGTTATAGCTGCCTGCTGTGCGCTTCATAATACCTGTGAAGCTAAGGGAAAAAGTTTCTGCTGGGGTGGCGGTGGAAAAGCTGTCTGCTGATTCTGAGCAGACAGATACTAGGGCTATAAAAAGAGCTCAACATGGAGCTATATGGCACAGGGAGGCTTTGAAAGACCATTTTAATAGTACAATATGTGCATTGCTGTAGTCTGCTCTGCCTGGCTTTGGTTTTTTGCACCCCAGTATGAATCTTGTAATGAGTGCTGTGTATGTAGTAATATCAATAGAGGCATTTGCAATGTTGTATTATTTATGACTGTCAGCCCCAGCCAGCATATATTGTGAATAAAGATGAATTAAATTTCCACAAATAGACTTTTATTCCAAACCCATACAGACATCTAACTGAATGAAACTTTATAAATACAGGGAAAAAAACCTTTGAAGGGGAAAGAACAGCCATTTTCATTTCACAAACACATACACCAATCGTGTCTCTCACACATCAGCATATGCACGGCTGTGATTGTCTGTACTCTCTCCAAGGCAGCGCCGTATTATTGCCTAGGCCAACAAGGCCTAGGCCGGCAAATTTTCAGGGGCGGAAGCTCCCCTCCACGCTCCGCCCCCCCGCTCCAGCTCACCTCCGCCTCTTCTGCAAGCGCGCCGCGGCATCCCGTTTCTCTCCCCTCCCAGCGTTTGCGCCGCGAAACAGCTGTTTTGCGGGGCAGGGAGGGAGGGGGAGGAGAGGGGAATGCCACATGCTGGGGGAAGAGGCAGGGCCGGGTGCAGGGACTTTGGGGAGGGGGTTGGAATGGGGGTGCAAGGGGGCGGAGTCGGGGCAGGGCCAGGGCGGCAATTATTTCCCGGCCTAGGGGCGGCAAAATTATTAATCCGCCACTGCCCCAAGGGTGGAGCGGTAGGGATCCTGCAGCAGCCCCAGATGCCACGTGGAATTTGGGGAGGGGAGGGTGTAGGGAGATGTGGGAATGCAGTTGTCCATGGGCTGCAGAGAGAAGCAAGCACAGGTCTGTGGAACCTGAAGGTCAACAAGAGTCACCAGCATGTCTGTTTGCTGCTTGAGAAGCGCTAGCTTCTCCTGCTGCACGTCTCTCCTTTTCCTGTGCTTTTCTCCTCTCCGCTTTATCCCCGTCCAGTCTGTCTGCGAGGGTGATCCTTTAAGCCCTGTGCTTGATAGGCAAAGCAACAGAGGCTTGCAGGATCTCTTTGAAACACATCATCACGCGTCCTCTTCCTTCTTCTTATCTGGCTGAGATGCTCTGCTGGTGTGGATGGAGAGCCCTTCAAGGCCACATTTCAAGCTGCAAAAGATATAATAGTACCTCTGTGCATTGACTATATTCACAAGATAAATGGAAACTTGGTATACTGAACTTACTCCCCTTGATCCACACAAGTTACAAGCACTACATTCTTACTTCTCCTTGGGATTCATAGAGCACAACAGCAGTCCCAGCCATGGTGAGTATGGCTCGGGGTCGAGTTGGGACAATGGGAGTGGGGGGCTAGCTCTGGGGTATAAGTATATGCAGATTGGGCAACTGAACATTTGCACAATTTTCCACAGGCAGTGAGGATTTTAGCGGATATCTCACTCCTGAGGGTAACAGAAGCTGAAAGGGAATAGTTCCTGCATGTGTCCGGCTGCAGACCAGGGTCCCTATGCTTCTAGTCTGTGTGCTGCAATGGTGCCTGCTGAATTAATTCCTGAGTGGTGTTGGAAAGTGTCCTGCCGCAGTGGAAGAAATAAGGCAGTCCTCCCTAGAAATCTTTAGCAGGGGATTGCAGACTACCTCCAAGCAGTTTCCTTGAGATTTCTATGTAGGATTCACAGGACATCCCAGTGCACATAAACAAACTGCAGGGCCCCCTCTGCCTAACTGTACAGCGAAATGAGAAGCAGATAGTGAAATAACCAATAGAGGTAGAGTTGCTATCTCTTAGAGCATGATTAAAAAAGAGTAAATGAATAGGTGTGTTCCTGCAATATCAAAGCGAACTGCATACTTACCAGAGGTTCCTTCCCCTGCATCAGGCTTGCCTATGCTGGACTGCAGGGACTGGCTCAACTGCGTCACTGGATCCCCGGATGGCCTGTTTCCCATACTCCTCCTCCTCCTCCTCACTGTTCACTCCGGGGGCCTGTGACTCCAACTCCCTCAAAGTATCCCCCAGGCCTTTGGGGTGGTGGTAGAGTCTCCGCCGAGGATGGCATGCAGCTCTCTGTAAAAGTGGCTCTGCACCAGTGCAACTGTTAGACTCCCTTGCCTTCTGGTACGCCTGTCGCAGTTCCTTGGCTTTCTCACAGCATCGCTGAGGGACCCTCTTGTAGCCCATGCCCCAAGCAATCTGCTCATAGATATCGACGTTTCTTCAGCTGAAATGAAGCTGTGCCTGCACAGCCTCTTCTCCCCACAGACCCAGGAGAATCCACATCCTGTGTACTTCAGGCAGGAGCGCGTTTGCAGCATAGAGCCGGTTGCTAAGCTCTCCAGGCGGAGCGAACAGGAATTGGAATTTCAAAAATTCACAGGGCTTTAAAAGTGGAGGGACGTGTGCATGTGTACTTGGCCGCCCAGCAGCTGAGTTCAAAATTGTGACTAGAGTGGGGATTGTGGACGCCTCCTGGAGGCCACTAAATTTGACAAAAGTATTGTGTCACCCTAACTATGTCAACCTAAACATTATAACTCTTGCACAGGTGGAGTTAAGTCAGTATAGCGGGCGACTTACATCGGCGGGAACAACATTTTAGTGTAGATGCTTAGAGTTCGGTTATTGCAAGGCAGCTTATGTCGACCTAACTCTGTAGTGTAGATCAGCAGTTCTCAACAGAGGGTCCGAGAACTCTCTCAGGGGGGCTGTGGGGCCCCACGGCTAAAACCCAGAGCCTGATCCCTGGCGCCCTCCCTCCCCAGCAAGGCTGAAGCTGGGAGCAGTGGGGCTGAAGCCAGGAGCCCCGGTGCGCCCCGTGGGGCAGAAACCCTGAGCCCATGGGCAGAGATGAGGGGACATAGGGGTGTTGCACCCCCCCCCCCACCGGGCAAAAACAGGGCGGGCCCGGGGGGGCGCCACACA